AATACCAAGTGCTAAGACAATTGTCACGGACTTTTAAGTCTTTTTAGCTTCACACTAGGTATGAAACAGTGAATAGGTACTGTTTGGGTTATGTTAAGTAGCTACAATATGTAGAGGTATAAAAATGTGGAAGGCAAAAGTAATACTCAGATATTTGTTCTTGGTAACTGAGTAGAGAAAATAGAGGCAACTATCTGGATAGTGTTGCTTATATTCTGTCACAGTTAATTTCTCTTTTAAAATTTAAAAAGAGCTCTAATGTTAAGAAATGGCAATTTTAGCTACCTAGAATGAAGATTCTGTATAGATGTGATTCCTGACATTTGATTACCAGAATTTTGCCAGGATTTTTAATTAGTTGGTAAATAGTGCCAAATTTTGTTTGGGGAATTTGCTTGTTGAATTGCTGGTTTCCTACCTTGGGTGTAGTAATTCAGTGAAATCTTGTTTGGTTTGGCAACCATACTGAACTCTGCTCAAGAAGCACATGTTCAGGCATTTTTTCAGAAGTGTTCAACTGCCAGGGCTTGGTAGAAACCAATGACACATCACAAAAAATAATACCTCCTACAATACCCTGTTCCCAAAAATAATGCCACCCATGATTGGTGAATTAAGTACATAAATGTCTAGTGATGGACAAATTGTCTTTACCTGAAAATCCTGAGTTTCCTGAGAAATGTCATGTTTTTCCAATAAGGAGATCTTTGAAATGACATATTAATTTGGTTTCAACTTGATTTTGTGTACATTTTTACCAAAATGCTTAAGTGTTGAAGTTAGCTTCTGAAGCAAGTATGGGAAGATTGAGTGGATAAAACACTTATTTAAAGACAGGTGTTAATTGGCCATTAGTCACAGAGTGAAGAAGCAGTATACCTGTAAGAGGGTATATGATTCAGATGCTGTTAATAATATCTTGATACTGGTTGAGTGAACTAGGCACTATCAACAAAATCTAGTAAGTCATTGGGTTGATCTTGCACGATGAGTTGAATGATAGAAGTCAGGTTGAAAAGTAGAGAAACATTTTGGATTTTGTGTACTAATGAATGAAAATATTTACAAGTCATTGAATTTTTTAATGAAAAAATGGACAAGGTTTATTAAGAGATAACTGTTATATGCTATTGATTGACCAATTTAAGCAATCTATACCTTCCAGTTGCAAGAAAGCCTTTGCCTGTGTTTTTAAAAAAATAATTTCAGATCCTTAGAGGAAAAAATGAAAAACTGCAGCTGCTCTGAAAGCTACCCTATCATAGGCTAGTGGAGGTAAACTAAAGGGACTGTTAATAGAAATTAACAATCCAGTTGTATGGAGTTGTATTACTGGTGTGAGAGGAAAAAAAGTTTAGGAAACATGGAAACATGTTTTCTGTGGTGGTGTGAGAAGGCAAATGGTCTCTTAGTCCCCTTGATGAAATCAAGTAGATTATTGCTTCCAAATGAAATTTTGCTAGTTCCTATTTCCCCTTGAATTTTTTTTTTTTTTTTTTTTTTTTGCCTTTGAAGAAAGGATCGAGATTTTTTAAATAGCTTCTTGGATAGGAGGCAAAACATTTGCCCTTAGATTAACACAAATGATGTTATCAGTTAATCTTCAGGAAGATATTACTGCCATTTTTATCAAGTGATTATAAAGGAACAAATAGGGTTTTTTAGTGAATTTCATCCAATTTTTGGAAGTGTTTATAATTTTTGAATTAATGGAAACACCCTGCTTGAGGTTCTTGCTTTTATAGTAAAGTTGATTCTTTGGGAAGTGTTTTTCGAGAATTTCGTATTTCCTTGGGTCCTTATAACCTGTAGGTGGTAAAAATGTCAAAAGTTGTCAAGGGAAGGTATTATGAGCTTCACTGACAAATAGTTCTCTTGCCTGCACAAGGCCAGGGATTCTCATGGAAGAGTTCTTAAAGTTGTGGAAATTGAAAAGTGGCCTGAATTGACTTAAAGGAAACCATGGTAGCACATAGGTTATTTATGTTTCTTAGAGATTAAAATCTCAGTGAAACCAGTTTAAGAACAGTTTTTGCCACTGAGGAACCAGTTACAAGGTACATTGGTCCAGTTTAAGGTATTTAAAAGGTATGCTTTTAATGCTCATTTTACCATTTTCTATTTAAGGAAAATAACCTCTCCCTTTTCTGGCCCATGTTATCTGTGACTTATATTTTAACAGATCAGCAAATTCAGGAGTGCCAGATATATCCTGTTGTCACTGGGATTCTAGATTTACTGTTTTTATCTTTACTCTTTTTACATAGCTTTCTCAACAAAGAATGGTAGAAATGCCAAGTTATTGTTATATAGTGAAAATAGCTTCTAAGATGTTTTATGGGAAGGAAAGTTACAGTTAACTAGAATTAACTCTAGTTGATAGAATTTTCTGGAACAGTTGTTTGCATCAAAAGGAATTGTTAGGATTATTTTAAAAGTTAACTCTAAAATTGGATTCGTTTCAGATACTAGTTATGGGACTGTGATTAAGTTAATGTTTGTATCACAGTTTCCTTCTAGTGGAGTTAACACACATGCTTTAACAATCGTGGCTAAAACTACAAATGTACTGATCATTACTTCTATTAGAATGGCGCTTTGGCAAAACAACATAACACAAACTTTGTATTTTGAAGATTAATTCTTTAATTTAAAATCCTCATGTTTTACCTTTTTATATATTTGGGAGTATAAAGGATCAGTAGACATGCCAGAGAAGGGGGAAGATGAAGAGACAAAGAAGATGATTAGTAGTATCTGTCTCTAGAACCCACTTTCTAGAAAGCAAGGAGTGAGATTTTGTTTTATTGACTTAACGAGTTGTAAGAAACAGAAGTACTTAGTAAAAAAAAAAATATTTTTAAAAAGTTGCCTGGAGATAACATTTTGGTGTATACTTTTTAGTAAAAAGTGATTGCTTTTCAGTCTTTTATAACTTTCCCCATAAAATATTTCTATACTTTTTTTAAGGCGTAACATACTTTTCATTGATTCTGAGGTCTTAGCATTATTGCCTACTTGGAACTTGGAATGCTGGGATGTCCTAAATCTCTTGGAGGCTTGGGGGTCTATGTTCAGTATTTCATTGTATAGAGATAAAATTCCAGTTCCCTATTGAAGGCCATTATTCCCTTCTCCCCATATTAGTAATGTAATGGATTCATTATTCAACTTATACTATTCCTCATTTTTGTTGCTAGCAGTGGAATTCCTTATTCAACTTTTTTTTTAAAGATTTATTTATGGTTACAGAACTGGGGTACAGGCCATAGGTGTGGTGGGTGAGAGGATTCACCAGGGACAGAATGGGGAGCAAAACGGGCAGATCTACTGAAATAACACTGCTGAGGAGAGTAGTGGGTAGGTCAGCTCCCTGGCCAGGGATGGAACTTATACTGCAGTGGCTTCGGAGAGCTTCACATGCAATGTTTTAACCTGTTAGGCCATCAATGAAAGCCTCCTTTAATTCAGCTTTTAATGGAATATTGCCTGGCTGTGAGAGGAGCCAAATAGCATACTAGTTTCCTGTAATACTAATTTAGTTTATGCTAATTTTCCTTCACTGATTGCAACTAATTGTTTCTGTGTATGTGTGTCTGCTAATTTGAGTTATTTATATGTATTTCATGAATTGTTCACTCAGTCTTGGAGAGGTTGACTTTTCATATTGCTAAGTCCCTTACTAAGGAAGTTACTTTTGGCATATATTGCAAGTGTTTCTTTTCGTATGTGTTATTTCACAAAGTTTTAATTTCTCAGAAATTCTAGTATAGACTGACTTAACCTGTTTTTTTAAGCCAATCAAATTGCTTATCTATTTTGGGGGGAAGAAAAGAACTTTATGGTCTTTGATTCTAGAGAGTGATTTATTCAGGGGTTCACCTAACAATCTTTCTTGAATGTGGATATTGTGAACTTCCATGAGTTCTGCAGGCTAAGAAGGGAAAAACAGGGCTCCTTTGGAGGGCTTGAGTTGCCATATTGGGGTAAATGACACTTGCATCCAGTGAGGAAAACTGGCTTGATGGAGAAAAACCAAGAATCAGACATGGGTGTTGACTAGAATAGAAAGTGCCTAGCTTGGAATTTCTTTCACTGGCTTCAGGCATTGGTGAGTTGCAGCTGTAAGTTATTAATAGAAGCTGAGAAATCAGAACAGGGTAGAAAGAAGCAATAAAAGAAGTAACACTAGTTTGACTTTCCTATTGCCTGTAAGGAAGACAGGCCCAGTGAATGGAATCTCTGGTTTCTAGAAAAGAAAATTATTTTAAGCTAAGGATCTCTTCATGGGAATTAATGATAAAGAGCCCCATGAATCCATTAAGAATGAACTTGGGACTAAGACCCAGAGATTAGGTATTTGATGTTTCAGTAGGGCAAATGTCTGGATTGACTCTGGGATATGTTAGGAATGAGGATTTTAGTCTTCCTGAGCAGTGAAAGCCTGGTGTATAAATGGTGAGCTCTACCCAATCCTGGTAAACTTGGTAACATGAGTGATGATTATGACTGGGTGTTAATGGGCTATGAAAGTTACTTGGGCTGAGGGTAGAAAGAGGTGACCTACCTATCCTCTCATTTGTGGAAAGGACACTGGCAGGGTTAGCAGTGCTCAAGTATGTATGAAATACTGCCTATTAGCCATAACTGTCTTCAGGGAACATTGGGGGGTACAATGGTGATAAGGGATGAAGAGAAACAAATGCTTCAACTGTCCCAATAAAGAGGAAGCAGATACTGATGAACTGGTCTCTGGACAAGATAAAATTGGTGATAACATATTACACATTTTTTTAAAAAAAAGATTATGCATATGAGAATAGGTACAGGCCAGAGGTAATGGGGGAGGGGTGTGAGAATTAAAGAGACAGAGAATGGGGAGTAGAACAGGCAGACTGACTACAATACATTGTTGAAGGGAGCAGTGGGGTAGACAGGTATGCTGTGCCATGTGGGTCACCTCCCTGGCTGGGATTCAAACTCCTGCTGTAGTAGCTGTGGATAGTGCTGCAATTTAACCCCTTCGCCACCAGAGAGGCCCCAATCTTATACATTTTTTGGTTAGCCTGCCATGGTCCCTGCTTTCCTGTTTATAGTCTAGCAGAAGTAAGTAGTGGTGTGGATATGCTACTAGGAGAACATTGAGGAAGCCTCCATATCCCAGAAGGAGCCTCTAAGTAAATCAAGGATGGCTCCTGTTCATCATATGAATACAAATGACCAGGCATTCAGGGAAGGGAGAGGGAGATGGAACTGTCTGGCACAAGGTGGGTAGGAAGTGGGGAACAGTGACTATGTTGAATTGTCAGGTAATCTGCAAGAGAGTCAAGGAACTGCTATTGGTAATAATACATTGGCTAGTTTCTGAGGAGATGGCCTCGTCCTCACTCTTGTAAACAAGGGCTACCACGTCTTGGGTGAAGATAAGGTAGCACTAGCTATAAGCTTCATGTGAGTGCTCTGCAGTAGCTAAATACAGTAGACTAGAGATGAAAATGGAGCTTATCTTTTCAAAGGAAGCCTGGGAGAAAATGCATAATGCCAGAATCATGGGTCAAGAGTAAAACAAGTATAGCAAATGTTTATCATTTTAATTTCTAGAGCTCAGGAAATGCTAAGAATAGCTGTTCTGTTACAGTGGGACTGGTCTGGATTCCTACACTCCCCTTCTTCCCCCACCTGTTGCCCCAGGCTTGACAGATTTAAGAAAAAGTTCTTTTTGGACCTTTCATCCTGTTTTTTTGGATACACTTAAACCAACACATACCCCACCAGCTTAGAAGTGCCTATAGTGAAGGGATAGAGGCAGCAGTGCGAAAGAGAAGATTGATAAGCCAAAGGCATCAGTTTGAAAGGAGTGAAATGAATCATGTTTGAAGCTTCAGCCTTGGGAAAGAATAGTATCTTCAGGCTCAACTTGAACTGTCTGAGGACTAGCTGGATGACCAAGAAAAGTTCTGAGATAGCACTGGTGGGAGGCAGCACCATCAGTGGTAGAAAAAAAGACTGGATCAGAACATTTGGCCTGCTCCCTTATGACAAAGCAGAAACCACTGAGCTACTCTTGATTCACAGAGGGGGTAAAGGCAAAATGATGCTTTTTAGGGGAAAAATACAATTTTAGGCTTCCACAAATGAGGACAATCATGACCACCTTAGAACACTTCATTTGGTGTTCACCAGATTCTATTACATCAGTAAAACTAGGATGATATATAAAAATTCCCTGTAATTCTTCATGTAGTGTTTTGGTCTAAAGCTATGCTCTCCAAAGCAGAAGCCATTAACCATGTGAATTACAATCAAAATTCAGTTTGTTAGTCATCCCAGATACTGCAAAGTATTCGATAGACAGTATGCTCGGTGTCCACTCTATTGAAGCATATATATGTAATAAACACACTTCTCAGAAAATTCTGGACTCTACTGATCTAGACATAATACCTGGAGTGTAGTAGGGGTTCTATAAATAGTTGTAAGAACGATCTTTTGGACTGGTTGTCGTTTCTAACAATTGGTTTTCACTTTCCCTTTCTTGCCAACATAGCTAAAAAAGTTGGGAGTCTGTAGATTGGCAGTAGATGTAATTAATCTTAAGACTCCAGGTGATAGTCATTCTCAGCTCCAGAGATTCATCCTGCTGGATTGTTTATCCTCCAGCTGCAACTGGAGCTGATGATAACGAGGCAACACTATGGAAGCATAGGGGTGGGAGGTAGGGCATGCCATGCTGGTTGGGAGCACATTGATTTTCCATGCTTCAAGCTTTGTCTCTCATAGCATAAAGGAGTCACAACCCATCTTTAACTGGTCCAGAGTCAATTCACCATAGGAGGAGTTGAGAGGGTGAAAAGAACTTGAAGGGAAAATGGAAAGAGAGATGTGCTGATGCTCTAGTTCTTCCAGAGAGTCTATTATGGGTTCTTGTGAAGGGAGAGAATCTATGTTGGAGGGTAAGTAGCCCTCCTGCGTGGGAAGGTAGTCTACAGGGAGAACCATCAAGGAGCTAGCTGGGTTTCCCAGCTTTGAGTTAGGGCCCCTGCAGCCCAGTACCTTGTATAGGTCCACAAGTTGCTGAGTCTCTGTTGTGAGAGCTCTTGGAGGAGATGGCCTGGAAGCACTGTATCCTGTGTCTTCCTCAGAGGTGTAATGACCTTGGACTTCTTGTCCTCCTGACCAGTTGGAGCGATGGATAGGTCTGAAGGCTGGGGCTCCTTCATAGAGGACTTCATTGATGACAAGGGGTTCAGGCTCTTCAGCGATGGAACGGGATGTCAGGAGCTTGTCTAAATGAAGGAGCATCTTCTCCTGAGAAGACAGACCAAGAAAATCCATATTACTATTAAGTAACCTTGATAACTGACTTCTACAGGGTTCCAAAGATCCTCAACAGTCTGCACTGTCTAGTCAGCTCAAGGTGAAACATTTGAACCTTTGACAAGGTAAAAGAAGCAGCTAACATTGTCAGGAAGACACACAGGCAAAAGCCATGGACTCTTCAGAACCCACAGGCAGAATGATTCACTGGTCAGTTCAACCTTCAGTCATACTTTGAGCTGTGAGTCAAATTGTACTAGTGCTTTTCCTCTGGAATAAACAGCACAGTTGGTTGCCTGTCCTACAGTTATAACCAGCTGCTCTCTGGGGAGAAGACAAGGAAGATTCTAAAAGAATCACACTAGTGCTGAATCCAGAGGTGTATAGTATTTTCTAGTAGGGAAGTGGTGGGCAAGGTCTTGTATAATCTGCAGTTTGCTAGTTATGACAGGCAAATGGGGGGACTAGAAATAGGGCACATGATGAAAGGCCTTTTAAGGGATGTAAGGAGTTTGGGCTTTGATAAAGCTATTCAAAGGAGTTAGGTAGGGTAATGTCCTTATCTGCACTGCTCTTAAGAAAGACCTTTCTGTGAATAGCACTTTTGGAAGGCATTTTTAATCCTATTTTCCCTCTAGCTATTTTTGTCTTTTCTCATTTTCTCTTTTTCACTATTGCGTCACTTATTAGCTCTTCAATGCCCTACCTTTCCTTTACAAACTTACTACCTAATTCCTGAGACAACGTCCTGAGTACTTGCCTAACCTTTTTTTTTTTTTTTAGATTTATTTGTTTGTACAGAACTGGGGTACAGGCCAGAGATGAGGAGGTGAGAGGATTCACCAGAGACAGAGTGGGGAGCAGAACAGGCAGATCGACGAAGTACACTGCTGAGGGGAGCAGCAGGCGGGTCAGGAAAGATCTGCCACACCATGTGGTCGCCTCCGGGGAAGGCGGGGTTCGATTCGAACTCATGCGGAAGTGGCTTAAGCGTCTTTGTGCTGTGCTTTAACCTGCTGCGCCACCAGGGAGGGCCACCTTATTTTAGTAGGCTTTATTAGGCTCTCCTTATATCCTCCAAACCCACACTTACTGCTTAATATTTCAAAAGCACAGTTCCAAATCTTTTATCAATTCAGACTTAGCAATGCAAGAAAATTTGTGGCCCATAGCTTAGCAATCAGGTTCCTGCACTTCCCACCCTTCCCATGGCTCCCTCCAGAAAATGCTATTTCAGCCACACTTATTTTCTCAGTGCCATCACCACATTTTATTTCCACTGCAAACCTCCACCCTGCTTCTGTTGGCTGCACCATCTCCTGTCACATCTTCCTCTTTCACAAAGTGCTTTCAGTCCCTTCACTGGACTACTGCAACAGTAAAGCCCATTAGGTTCTTGGCACATGATACTTCATGCTGTTGGCTTTAATTTTTTTTTTTTTTTAACATGTCCTCAAGCCATCTTTAGCAGGAACCATGTCATAGGGGAGGCTAACAATAAATTATACTCATCTGAGGCAGGGCAAGCCGTGGGGACTAGGTCAGTTCTGACACTTTATAGCCTGGGAAAATGCCATCAATTTCTCTGGCCTTTGGTTTCCACATCCATCAAATGCCAAGTTGTGCAAGAATAGTTTGATCTGGATTGGCCTCTAAAGTCCCCTCCCTTGCTTTGAGTATGACAAGTATTTGAATAGTAAGCGATGGTGCTCAGGACAGACTTCTGCAAAGGGCCCTCCCTGACAAACTAGAGGGGAAGTACGTGTTTCTCTTCGGCAGGGCTAAGAGGGTATTCACAACTAAAACTGATCCTGGCAGACTGGTCTGACTTGGAGTGTGGCCAAGAGCTCTAGGAAGCAGAGCTGCCAAAGCACTGCTACCATAGATTAGGAGCCATTACATAGGTTGGAACTGGCTTGTGTTCATATGGTGAGACTTTCGCTCTGTCTTCAAAGCTTTGGCAGTATTGATAGAGACTGCTTCCTGGAGCTTCTACTAAGTAGCAGGTCCTTTAGCTGACAGTCTTGGGCTAAGGCCTCTTAGATCATCACTGGTTCAAGCATCTTAGATACAACTTTTAGCTTTTACAACCTCAAAGTAGCTAACACTTAAGTGACCTTCTGTTCCTCCTGTGTTTTAAGACCTCCAGATACCCTAAGCAGTGGTAGGGGGAAATAAGGCCCGAGAGATCAAAATACATTTTATTGGAGGTAAAAGTCAAGATGATTGTTTCTGATACCTGTCCCAGTCTGTTACCTGGAGAGCAGTTTGATTCTCTTAAAAACCGTCTACCCACTTTAAGGACCAAGTGACATGGTTTTCTGTGGCTGCCTCAAGGCCTTCAGTGCAGAGGTCACATTTAAGCTGTTTGTTGTTAATGTTCTAATTTACTAGTTCCTTTTGCAAGAATAAACATATAAATACCATAAAAACATCTTCATAAAGCTCAAAGGGAATATACAGTGAAAACTGATTCTCCCACTCCCAATCTCCTATTCAGAGGCTTTATATGTAACAAACATATTATACTATACCTAATTTTTGTCCTCTGGCATATTGCAGTAAACATACTTAAGCTATACAACTTCAGGCATATGTGTGGTAACTCCTATTACCTTCTCCCAGTGTTTTTTTTTTCCCTAGCCCTGTGTGTGTCTTTTGCAGCATTTCTAGGTTGTTCATGAGCCCTTTAGTGGGTATGGATGCCTCTGTATCCCCTCATGCCAAGACAGAAAAACAGAGCACATGATGCCAAAACTACAGCTTAGAAGCCAGGTGTCGTGACTGGACCCAGGACTGTTTCCACCTTGCTATTTCAGGCTTTCAGGACACAGGACTGTGGAATCTCAGCATTGTGAGAGAGATTAAAGCTTTGCTGGTACTGAGATCTCCTCTAGCAGTAGCAGTGGCCTCTCCACAGAGCATCATGGCATTGCCGTCAAATAATGCCCTCCAGATGACCCAGCTTGCAAGCACCCCTGTAGTTAGTCTGTTCAGCTTAGAGCTATTACTGCTAGAAATACTCCCTTTACCCTTGGTTTCAAGGTCCTTTAGGATGTATAGTGTAATGGATAGCACCTCCTGCTTGTATGCGAATCCAAGATTCACCATTTACTAACTGACTAATGTTGGGCACATTATTTAGTCCAATGTCTCAACAACAGCATAATCTCATGAAGCTGTTATATGGATTAAATACCAATGCACGGAAAATGTTTTTTAAAGTGCCTGGCACACAAAATTTTACATATAGATGTGTATATACACATGTGTATGTGTATATACACGTGTATGTGTATACAGGTAGTAGGTATATACACAGTACAATTATAATTATGTATGTGATATATCTGTATATATACAGATATACTAAATATACACATATATACTAGCTACATATAATTAAAATACTATACATATAAAAGCTATGATTTATTTTTACTGTTATTGGAACAAGAGCAAACGCCCTCAATAGAAAGGTGATTTCAAGGATGAGTCTTCCTGTGAAAGAGTGAATGATTTTTGCCTTATATGACTCATGTATTTTAAATGGCATCTTAAGGCATTGTTGCCAACTTCTATTTTATAGAGAAATGCAATTATGGCTCAGGTTGTCAGGCAAGTTGCCCACTGGTGAGCCACCATCATTTTAAACATCCATGCCTTATCACAAAGACATGAAATTGCAGTGGCTTGAATTCCTACAGAAACCAGCTCTCTTCCTGGGAAAAGGCTGGTACCATTACTGACCTGAGGAAAGGCATGGATGTTAGAATGGGCTGGGTAACAGAACAGTCTTGGAGGAGGAGGCTTGTAATGTTTCAGAAAAGGTAACTGGGGTTGCCAAGTCTCAAGAAATGGGAAAGATCATGTTTTTCCCTTTTGTTCCCCTTAAAAGCTGTCTTGTTTCATTTTTAGATGCTTTCGACTTCTGGCTCTTCCACCTGAGAGGTCCCATCTTACCCACCCTGAGCTCTTCCCACCTCCTTAGACTGCACAGTGGCAGCTCCCTTCACTGCCCTAAACTCAGCTCGCTATCACCCACCACTGCAGTGGTTCCTTCTTTAAAGCCTTTTCTTGCACAGTGAAATAATTTTCTGGCTTCCTGCCAAAACCAAAATAGTCTGGGCTCTATTTATCTGTTCTATGTTCAGACAGGACTGGGAATGTCACAGTAAAAATTCATTCCTCTTGAATCTGGATGAATCAATGCCCAGGCTACTGCATGGTAAATGGCAAAGATACTTTTGATTTCTTTTGAAGTAAGTTGAACATAAAACATGAGAGGAATGAAAAGCTATGAAGTCTTTTGGTGATAAGCTCCAGAAAATTCCTCTGCATGGAGTCATGACTCAGATGGCAACTCAGCATGAATGACTTTAGCTTATCCACAGGACCTAAGTGCCCAAGTATCCTTGTAACTACAAGGCAAACTTAGGTAGCGATCACTAGAACCCTATTGAAAACTGACCACCAGTGCTTTAGACCTACCTCTGCAATGGGACACTTTTTTACCAACATGCTTTTTGCTGGGTCTGGAATTTCTCTGCTACACCACTGAGGTCTGAGGGCTGACAGGAGAACAGCTGCCCTATAGACAAAGAAAACAGTGACATTTGATCAAGCGTGTACATGGCGGCAGGGAAGCAGGTTCTTAGTGCAGTGATTTCAGTGCAGGGATTATTTTGTGTGCAAATGTAAGTAAAATATAAACACCAAGGGAGAAAGATGATGCATCATCCAAGGCTTTACTAGTTATTTGTGAAGTTCGGGTAGATGATAGACTCATGATGCAACCATTTGCAACTTGCTAATAACCTATGGTACTTTTGCTCAATGTTCAGCTGCCTGTCACTATCCTGCCACGTACTCATTCAACAAACATTAACTGAACTCTTAACATATGACTAGCAAGTGCTACAAGCTAGGGACAGAACAGCAAACAAAAAGACATAGTCTCTACTCTCGGTGAGTTTACTATTTAGCTAATTAGAATATTTACTATAAGTTTGTGATAATAGGTAAATTATTATGCTCAAATTAAAAAAAGTAGAATACAAGTGGTATAAGAAGTTTGAATAAAGCTTCGTAAAAACATGCTAGGAAGAAAGTATCAGGGAAATGTACAAACTGTTAATTGATATACTTGATAAGAGGAAATATAGGTCTTTTCTTTCTATACTTCTGGATTTAAAAAAGTAATTTGAAAGGAGTTTATAATGTTCATGATCTGGAAAGAAAAGCAATCTTAAAATCATCTATGAATGCATGTGACAAATTTTTTGATGTTTTTTAATTCAAGCCATATATGAAAAATTTTAGAGTTGGCTTTAATAATCTTTGCTATTTAATGAGAGCATCTGGAATTCGGTTAGCCCTTGTGTTGCAAGAGATGTAACCATATGACCTGTTTTTCTCTAAAGAAATGTAAGCAGATGAGGTCAGTGCCCAAGGGATGGTAGGCCAATAAAACAGAAGAAAACTGAGTCTCTAAATGACTTGTGGTGCACAGCAGCCAATGAAGCTGGACAACTTTCCCTCTGGACTGTTAATGTGGGAGAAAAATAAACTATTTTATTAAAATCACTGTATTTTGGGGCCTTTATTTTTTTAACAGTAGCTTAACCTTCATCCTAAGTGACACCATTTCCCTGGAGAGGGTGCATATGATTCTATTTGACTCAAAAATTTTAGTTAAACTTTTCCAAAATACTAAAAGGAAACTACTTTGAACATCTGTCACACACAGGAGCCTCAATAAAAAATTCTGACAAGTTCAATGGCCAGTTGGATGACTTTGAACTAGTTTTCTTTTGACCTCTTATATTACATAACATCTGAAGAAAATTTTATATAGAGTAACATTAAAATTTTTTCTTTACAAAATGTTTGCCAAAGAAATGTTAGAAAATAACAGTTAAATATAAAGAACTGAAAACTAAACTCACCTATGATTCTACCCCTGGATATAACAAACCATTAACATTTTAGTATATATTCTGGGGGCAGTGTTAATTGCCATCAACACCCTTTTCCTCCTCTTCTCGAGAAGAGGACCCTGTTTTGGGGGAAGACTGTGAATCCATTAAAAAAAAACACACAATTTTTTTTCTTTTACTATATATATGTATTTTTAACAATATAATAGTTTATTTTTACATCATGTTGTGCCTTTTTCCATCACAGCAGTAATCACCATGGGCTTTCCATCATCAAATCACCCATGTGCTATCACCATAGTCCAGTGCACTTCCTCCCCCCCCCATTTTTGATCCCATTCCCCACTCCACCCCTGTAAAATGTCTCTGGTACATAGTTGTTCATTATTATTATTTTCTCCCCTGGTCTTTTAAGCTGCTATGAGTGAAAGCATCGGTATTTTTCCTTTTCTTTCTGGCTTATTTCACTAAGCATGATCTTTTCCAGCTCTATCCATGTTGCTGCAAAAGGCATGTGTTTATCTTTTTTTTTTTTTTTTTTTTGGTTGCTGAGTAATATTGTGTATATGTACCACATCTTTTTAATCCAGTCATCCACTTTTGGGCATTTGGGCTGTTTCCATGTCTTTCCAATTGTAAATAAAGCAGCAATAAACATGGGAGTGCAAGTGTCTTTTTTGAGTCAGTTTTTGTGTCTTTTGGGTAGAGACCTAGAAGTGTGATTGCTGGGTCATATGGAAGCACCATTTTTAGCAGTTTGAGAACCTCCAAACAGTTTTGCATAGTGGTTGTACTGGTTTGCATTCCCACCAGCAGTGCAGGAGAGTTGCTTTTTCTCCACATCCTGCCAACATTTGTTGTTGCTAGTTGTTTGAAGATGTGCCATTCTCACTGGTGTAAGGTGGTATATCTCACTGTAGTTTTAATTTGCATCTCCCTTATTATAAGTGAAGGTGAACATTTTTTCATACCCTTGTTGGCCTTCTGCATTTCCTCTTTGGAGAAGTGTAAAAGACCACAATTTTAAGCCCCCTTATTCTCACCACCTTCTGGCCAATGAGATAAAAGTATCATGTATGACATCTTTCTGTGAAGGTTTCTAAAAGGAAGTGGGGCACCTTCCTTCTTTCTCCCCCTAGTTGTAGAACAGAGACAGGATGGCCACAGCCACTGGACCATAAGGTGAACAAGGCCAGAAATCTGTCTGGAGAGTGGCACAGAAAGAAGAGGCCTAAGGTCCTCTGTGGCACCATGTGGAGTTACACCTGCTCTATACCTGAGTTAGAAACTATCAGCTAGTCTAAGTCCTGGTTTGGCTTTTACGTTATATACCACTACGTTTAATGCTAACTGAAAGATCGTCATGCATGTTTTTACATAAAATGAAAGCACATTTTGCAACCAGCTTTTAAAAATGTAATAAAGGGTCTCCCTAGTGGTGCAGAGTTAAAGTCACAGTGCCATCAAGTTATTGGCAGCCATGACAGCATGAGTTTGACCCCTGACCTGGGAGCTGACCCACATGTCAGAACAGACTTCTCCTATCTCACCTGCTGCTCCCCTCAGCATTGTATTTCAGTAGATCTGCCTATTCTACTTCCTATTCTCTCTGGTGAATCCTCTCACCCCCCACCACTGACCTGCACCCCAGTGCTTGTTTGCTTAAATAAAAATTTAAATATGTAATATAGCAACTATAACTTTTAATTTTCTCCTACATCATCTTTAGTAGTTGTATAATATGCTACACAGCATAAGAAATATTGTGATTTAGTTAGCCAATCCCATATACTGGGCATTTAGGTTTTTCAAATTGTTTTCTGTTCTTGAACAATACTTCGGTGTATAGTCTTGTCACTAAATACTTGTACACACCTGTGGTATACTTAGATTTCTAGCTAGGAATTTATAGGTCAAAGGTACAGTATTTAAAAAAAATTATACTGTTGCCCCCAAAATATCAGTATAGTCTGCCACTAGCAATGTATGAACACCCATTTCCTTCATCCATAGCAACAACTAAAATCATTTTTAAAAATACATTTACCAAAATGGCAAGTGTAACCAACTCACTTTTGCCGGAAGGAACGTGTTGAGAAAATTCCCACTGTGATGATAGCAATGCAAATGCTTGGCGCCACAAATGTGCTCCAATTGGCTTTACCTGAAAAGTTAGCAAACCCTGTGACTGTGTTATCTTCAATGATCATTTCAAAATCTGTTGTGTTGCTGCCTCTGGGTCCTACCCACAGCTCCTGGTAAGTGAGGCTTAGGCATAGGGCAACTCATTTTTGTCCACTCAGGTTAGGGAGAAGAGGCCCTCAGGGGGCCAAATTTCGTTTTTAGTGAGGAGCCCCAGTCCTTTAGGCACTCTTTCCTCTAACAGCAGAAGGTAGTGAGTGGGGGGTCACATACAAAGAGCTGGATGAAAGGAGCTCTGAATTATAATCCTGGCTCTACCCTGAGGTGTGATTGATGGACTACAGATCCCTAATCTCAAAAAGGTGAATGAATATATATCTACCTTGCAGTTTGCTGTGAAGATTAGAGATGGTGTATTTGAAGCTCATGGCAGTATTTCTGAACAAAGGAGGCCTTCAAGAAATAGTAGCTATTGTGGCCTTCCCTGGTGGCCCAATGGGTTAAAGTGCAGCACTAAGAAGCTGCCTGCAGCTATGTCAGCACAAGTTCAATCTTGCCCTGGGAGGTGGCCCACATGGCACAGTAGACCTCTCCTGTCTTGCCTCAGCCCAAGTTTGATTCCCACCCCACTGCTCCTCTCAGCAGTGTACTTTGTCTATCTGTCTGTTCGGCTCTGCATCTCTGTCTCTGGTGAATCCTCTCACAAGCCCTGAACCTCTGGCCTGTACCCCAGTTCTGTATTCATAAATAAATAAAACTTAAGAAACAAAACAAACAGTAGCTATTAATTTTACCAAACCTTGGTTATATTCTCTAAATAGGCTGTTTGAAATTATTCCAATTCTATCCTATGACAAGAATTCAGGACTCGACTATAGGTCAGAACTTTTCATTAATTCTCATACTGTAGAGTTAATCTGTCTAGCAGGCCCTATTAGGTACTGGAATATAAAATGAATATGACATGACTCTGCTGTCTTAAGGCATGAGTATAGTATAGAAGACAGATGTGTAGACATCTAAACAATGATCTACAATGCCAGGGGATAAGCATAAAAATGGGCATGTCCAAAGCAGTATAGTCGAGTGGAAACAGCATGGAAAATGGCCTCATGAGGAGTTCAGGCAGATTTTATAAAAAGGCAGTTGTCAAAAGTTTAAAGGTGAAGGACAGTCAGTTCATCAGCAAAATGAACAAGTTAGAAAAACTTAGACAAAGAGAACTATGAAAAGGATGGAAACAGCACAGTCCTCTTGGGCAACTGTAGCTCGTTTGCTTCGCTTTCAAAAACACATGATCAGCGTGTGGCAGATGAGCTAGTGGGTGAACTGGATCAAATCACATAGGATTTGATCAAAGCTGTGTGAATTCCAATTTGAGGGCACTTGAAGAACTACTGACAGTTCTTCCACAAAAGGTGGCATGTCAGCTTTGAGGACACTGCAAACAAGAGTGAAGGACAGGGTGCGTGAAAGGGTGAGCAGTGGGGAGAAGCCAGAGACCTGCTAACCAGGTGAAATGTATGTTGCCACCATGGAAGGGCAGCATTAGCAAGCAGTCTCATTACCAACCTACACTGTCAGCACAATCTGAAAACTTCATCATCTGCCTTCCTTTTCTGGGCAGATGGGACAAATCTGGGGTACCACCAGCAGGAAGATGCTGACTCTTTAATCCTATTAATTGCAACAAATTAACTTTCATGAGAGTTCTGGGGAGATGAAAAAAGGGCAAGGGCTCATCAGTTTTTCCCGCCCTACCTAGCAAGCATGCCAAAATCCTAAATGGTTAACTTGGTATTCCATGTCACAAAACAAGAACAGCTTGTATAATACTTGCAGCAGATGCAAATGAGCACTACCAGAGAGAATGGTGTAACTTAGCTAGTGGAGGGAAAACCATGTTAGCTGGGTTCTTTTTATTTTAAATGTAAATTTCTTTATATATATATATATATATAATATTAGCTATTTTTTACATCATTCTTCCTTTTGTGCACTTTTTCATCTCAGTTGTAATCCCCAGGGGCTCCCCACTATCAATTCACCCATATGTCATCACCACAGTCCAGTGCACTCAGCTGGATTCTTACTCATATATATCTATCTCAAATCTAAGTTTGATTTGTAGTTCTGCTATTTACAACCTCCATAACCTTGGATAAACTAATCATTTGGTACCTCAGAAGGCATTCTAATACTTCCTTCCTCCATTTCATATGGAGTGCCTGGTAGTGTAGCTCAGTAAAACTGCATAAAGCAGGCGCTTTACATGACTTGTGGTCAAGATTAAATGAGTAAAAGTACTTGTTATGTGGGCTGAATTGTGTCTTTCCATGCCCCCAATTTCTATTTTGAAGTTCTACCCCCCCATTCCTACTACCCCATTCCACAGAGAGTGATCTTATTTAGAAAGAGAACCATTGCAGAGGTAAATATTTAAGATGTGTTCAGACATGAGTAATTGGTTACTTTGTAAAAAGGGGAAATTTAAGGAAAACTTGGTGTGAAGATGGAGGCAGGCTGAGATCTGCAAGCCAAAGAATGCCAGGCATTGATTTTGCCTGCAAAGAGCCAAAAGAAAGGAGAGGGGATGGATCAAATTCTCACAGCTCTCAGAAGGAATGAACTCTGCTAATACCTTGAACTCATTTCCAGCTTCTAGAACTGTAAGAAAATAAATTTACGTTGCTGAAGCTACTTAGTTTGTGATATTTGTTACAGCAGTCCCAGAAAACTAAGAGTATGCTGAGGACTTTCTTAACATAGTGACTGATGCATGGAAACTATCTGATCAGCAACAGCTGCTATTGTTATTATTCAGATAATTCTCATCATGCATTGAACATCATATTTAGTGAACAAATACTAGGTTTTTGTTCTAGACTATAAGATAGAGAAAAAACAGATTATTAGTCCCTACTTGTTGGATCCAGAATTTCGATCAGTAAGCACACAGAGTGCTTTAATGAAGGAGATTTAGAGGCACTCTTGCGAAGGCTTCCTAGTGAAGGAAACCTGTACCCTCAGTTTTGCAAACACAGTGAAGTAGTAGGGTACTTCACTCAGAGGAAACAGCAAGTGCACAGGTATGGCAGGCAGCAAGGAAGTGCTAAGTTATGCATCACAATTGAGATAACTGAATCATGAGGCGACTGCATTGTGCGGATGTCACAGAGTGACTGCACAAACCTGGGAGGTACAGTTATGACACACAGAGGCTAGGTGGTAGAGCCCACTGTGACCATATGTTGAGTGTAGTTGATTAAAAACACTGTGATGGAGGAACCACTGTAGTGGATTAAAGTAACCTGATCATCTCTGTGTCAAATGTAGTGGGGTATCTGCCCATGTAGGAAAAAGGACTCACCATTTTAAAAGTTGTTTCTTACCTTGCAGGCAAAATTCCCTTTCATTTCCTTGGGGGCTTTCCCCAGCAGCTGTCAGAGCTGTCATCCATAGTATGTATGTCACTCTGGGTTGCAGACTGGCTATGGGATGTGAATTTGGGGATGCCCTGTAGGGAATTTCTGAAAGGAAGAACAAGGAAGTAAGGCATGTATTAAAGGAAATATTTGGATGTAGTCTGTTTTTTTTTTTTTTTTGTTAATGATACCTTTCATTTGAAAGAGAAAAGCACATTGCTGATTTAAGATAGCTCTAATTCATTAGTGTTTAGTACTTTAACAGTCCCTCATCATTGTCATTTATGGAATCCCCACTTCACAGTCCATCAAAAGAATCAAGTATTTTCTCTGTGGTAAATTCTTTTGAAAGAATTATTTTTTAATCACTTTACT